AACGGTCCAGCCTGTCCAGATCCCTCCAGACATATTTAAATAATTTATAATAATATATTTAAATATAGGCATATTTAAATAAAAGCATGGATCTACTATATAGTCAAAAATATTTCTCCAAGATACATACCCAAACACAGGGACTGTGATGTTTCTCATTGTAATGATGACTGATGGTATGCCCATAATTATACAAATAGCTTGAGCACAGATATCTAAAAATAATCCTAATGCGTGGGTTTGCCTGAATATTAAAAGGACTTCAAAGAATTTGCTGCTTTTAGGAATCCTAGGCAGAGGCTGAACTTGAAATTTATTCAAGATGCTGCACAGACAGTATTTTTTTTGGTGCCAGTAAGTTTTAAGTTTAAAATACATGTTACAATGCTGCTAAATCATACACACCTCCTGGAGAATGCAATGAGGTGAAAAGACCCCAACCGTTGAAAAAGTCAAAGTGCTTGAATATATAGCATGAGGACAAGGACATGCAGGTCATTTTTTTTTAATAAAAGTGACAATTTCTTAAAGCTCCTTTTAAAAATTGCAGTACAAGAAGACAGGAATGAAGGAAACGATCACAATATTAAGAAGAAGACCCTACAGGTGCTCCTGAACACATATACATGAAAAACCTGACAGCTGGGGAAGAGGGAAAAATTGGTGATGTCATGATGTCACCAACACCAGACAATAAATGGAATGGAGAGGCAACAGTAGCTTTGGAAAAAAACAAAGACATTCTAGAAGATTCTTACAAGTAGAAGTAACCTCTAAGGACAAACTGATTAAAAATGAAAAATGAGGACTGAAAATTGTCATATCATCAGTTGAATTAAATTCCATATCCTCCTATACAACTTTTAAATGTAGCAGTTTGATAGGGTGGCACAATTCAGCAGGTCCAATATCTAATTTAATACTTTCAATCTGATGGAGTGATGAGTCATCTCCAAAAGGAATCAACTATCATAATAATTCAATGGATACCAAGCATTGAAAATGCAGCAGTGTCAGAAAGCCTGTAGAATAATTTTACAGCCAATATTAATTCATCAAGAGAATAATTTTATCTAATTTATTGCAGAAGAGCAGGATCTCAGACTGCCACTTAAAAAGATTTTTCCCAATCCACTCCTTTCTCAGTTATGTAAAAAGCAATGAAATTTTACTGCTGTTAGTTCAGAGGAGCATCAGGAGCACTAAAGGCTTCTAGAAATTCTGATGCAGAAACTGAGACAACAGCCTACTTTATTTTGCTTAATTTTCCCTCTTATTTTGATCCTCGTTCCTACAGCTGACAAAAAATAAAATCCCTCCACTCCTCTCTCCTTTCTGTCAACCTCCTCATCCTCCCCAATCACATCCACCTGCATTCAGCCCAGTTTCACTATTTTCCCCATCTAGTTTCTCTCTTCTTATGATCAGAACAGCAAGTATAGTGGAAACTGAAAAAAAAATTAAGAAACCCAGTCAGAAGAACTCCTTTCTATTGCTGCTCCTCAAAAGAAAGTAAAGATTAAGACCTGTGTGACTTTGATCAATCAAAATCTGACACTGATTGTGGAGATGAAGCTCCTTTTCACTTTCAGCTCTGTCCTGCTGTTGCTTTTTTTACTGTGTTATCAGGTAAAACACATAGCATAGTCTAAGCCCTAATGAAGGTCCAGAGGCAAAGAAAACACCTTTTTTGCAACCAATGTCTTTATGACATATAACCATTCAGTTAATCTTCTTTGAATCACTCATCAATAGCTTATGCCAAACCAGCATAAACGCTTTGATCCAACTGTAATATATTAGAAAATCCTAGCTTTTAGCATCAATGAATCCTAGGAGATCCCAACACCCTAGCTTAATACTGAACCGGAAAAAGCATAGTATAAATAGCTATGTTGAAAACACCAGCTGTTAACAACCACTTGCATTTGGGAGTGCAGTAAATGGCCACAAATGCTTTACCAGTCCATTTCAGAAATATACCCATACTTCTTTTAACCAAGTCCACAAATTGCAATGGATTGTTTCTTACCAGCAAAGGCTGTGAGTAGAGTTCAAGCTGTGCTCTGTAAATTATGTCCTCTAATACCTCCTGGCCGAGATCCCACTGACCATTATATCTAAAAAATAAAAAAATATATTTATCTTTCACATCTTACAAACTCAAACTTGTCTTTTTTCTGCCCAAATCCAGCCCTTCACTTCTTTGCTTATGTAGAAAGTTCATCAACGGTATATAGATCCCAGCCTCTTCACTTATTTTAAAGGTATAGACAAAGCATTTTTTAATTAATCTAGTTGGTATAACAAAAAAGCTCCTTCCTGTCACCTCCAAGAAGGACAAAGTTGATACCATAATTATGAAAAACTTAAAGAATAAAAAAATGGGGTCAAAATGTAAAGGTTAACACTACTAGCAGAACTGAATTTCCATCATAAATGGATTTTTGCTACCTCAGAAGCTAATGACATTCAAGAGATCTGTATTTCATCAGGTTATCTTGGCATCTAAGCTCATTATACTTGTGAAGAGAAGGTATTCTGGTGGCAGTGGAAACTCAAGAAAAGATGAAGCCAGAAGCCTAACTTTCTTTAGCATCTACTGCTGGCCTTTTATCACCTAATTCAACCCTGACATATTTTCAAATTATCAGTTGTCTGAGCAAGCAAGTAACAGGAAATACACTAACCAAGTTATAAACTTGTGTTAATGAGTTTAACTACTTTTTAAAATCATAAACCAATCAGCATTTATATTTTAATTCATGTAAAACCAGACACTTCTCTTTATACAAAAAAGCCATCCACTTACATGGCGTAATAGACACCTGTGAGCAGCTGCACCATGAAGTCAGGGTCTAACACCACTCTACCACAGTGTTCTTTCCAGTGTTTCTCGTGCTGCCGTGGGAATCCACTCACACACAGCCTGAAAAAACACACCATTGTAAAAAAAAATTTCAACCCCACAAAGATGACATGTCTTTACATCACAGAGATTCTAGTTAATTTTCAAATTTTATTTTTTAAAATGTAAGTACACAACTTAGAACATCCTTATGTTGCTCTCCAAACCATTAAAGCAGTTTTATAACTACCTTTAAATGTGCCTTGCTGATAATCCAGTGTTATTCCCCTGTAGCCCTTAACTCTGTTTTCTTCAAATCATAACCAGCTTCTAAAGAATGAGGGTGGCAAGATGTCAGCCACCAAGCAGAAGAGTTCTGCCAAAATTCAGTAAGTGAATTCAACTTTCTTTAAAGGAAACATTTCAGTGTCATAGAAGAGAAATATGTTGTTTCCCATCCGACATGGATGACAGCATGCAATCACCTTTTACCTAAAGTTGGATAACACAGATACTGTATTCTTGAGAATTGCTCTCAACTGCCTTCTAACAAAGGACTTCTGACCCTTGAAAAAGGGCCTGGCTTCCCATACTGCGTAGCATTGAGTCTCCGTAAAAAACAGAACTATTTATTCATAATTTTAATATCTGAATCTTCATCATGGAAGCAACACAGCCACTAATACATAATAACTGCTGCACTGTTTCAAAAACAACAAAAATAAATCCCTAGCCTATAAAATAGTCTCTCTCCTCTACCCAAAGAACAGATCTAATTTCAAAATGTAGGAAAATTCAACATATTTGGCAAATTTTGCACAGCCACAACTCAAGTGAAGATGATGGAAGCATACCAAGAATTAACCCATTCCCATCAGAAATCATGGGAAAGCAAACATGCAACTTAACTGCATGTATGTGTTACTTATTGGAAGCTAGTCTGATCCTTCTTTCCTACATAACTGAATTGTGTGTAATGCTTTTCTTTCATAGCAGTCTTGTGCTGAAGCAAACAAGCTAAATCAAAACACATTTAAAGAGATTTCTCTGCTTGGATGTAGCAGGAGAGAGAATTTATCTCATTTTAGATGAAAATGCTAGTAAAACAAGGCCTATTGGAATATCAGTTATACTTGAGATTTTTCAGAACAAAAAGCAGGGATCTTTGCCAAACAGATGCTTCTGAGACTATTCAAGCAGAAGGTTATAGAAAGGGCATGTATAAGAGTTTGAGAAATCACAGGACTGAATTCTCCAGAAAGTGGGATGTTATCATCAGGTTAAAAAATTAAAGGAAGGAAAAAAAACCCCAAACAAAGAAAAATCCAAACAAACCACTAAAACTCAAAACACTGTGCAAGCACTTCATATAAACCACCCTCAGAAGCAAGACATTATTATTTGGAAGTAGAGGAAACTGGTGGTATTCCTCACTGGATTTTTAAGCTGACCGTACTGAAAAATGTCTGAAATATATGTAAATCCAAAAAATGCAAATCAGAGTAGCTTCAAATCATTTTCCCCCCAAATTGCCTTTTTTTTTCTTTCCAAATAACAGAAAGTTACATATCTAGAACAAAAGCCCATGCAGTAGTAAGATAATCCATGCATTTTATCTGCATGCTAGCACAGCTTCAAATTTCGAATTATGTTGCAGCACTAACCCAGAGTTACATATTTTAAGTTATTAAACACAACATGTAATTCTTTCTCTTTTTGCTGGATGAATATTTAGAAGTCTAGATGCACCCTGCAAGATTATTTCAAAGGCAAGTGTCTCACCTGGAGCCCATCCTACAAAGTGCTTGGTAAGAAGAGGCAGGCATATAGACAATAGCAGAATTATAGCACAACATAAGAAAGCTCAGCACCTCAAACCTGAAAAGAGACAAGAGCAATACTTTGCATGTTTAAATTCTTCATATTTCATCAGAATTTAACACCAAAATTCACCAACACTGTCCCACAAAATATGCTGCAGGAAAACGTGTCAGAAGTAAACACACAAATCCTGAAATCCTCTTTCATTGTAACTCACTAACCTGAAATAGTCCATTAAAGATTCAGTATTAAACACTTAAAATTATTACTGAAAACTATTAGCATATGCAGGAAGTACGGAGGAAATGGCATATGGCATAATCTTTGGTAAAAGTTATAGAATTAGACAAGTCCGCAATGCATTCAAAATTATTTTATCAGTTTTCCCAGAGCTGGCTTTAGACACAGGTAAAGCTGGCAGTCACTAGAAGAGCAGAGCAATTTCTCTCATCCCTGGTTCTGTCTGTCCACGCAGCTCCATTCCCCTTTTCCCATGGAAAAAGTAGTCACAGCCTTAGAGCCAAGGCTGAATTTTCTTACACTCCCAGGAAAATTTATGTTGACAGACATAAACCTAAAGATATTCCTGACGGACACAGAAATGACAGAGAAGTTACTCTCTTCTAAATTAACTAGTAGAAAAACATACAAAGTTGGAACAAATAACAAAAATACTGTATCTCAAGATTACCAAGACTGTTCTCTAGATTTATTTCCAAGCACTTAATGTTGAAAAAGGAGTGAATGCATAATATATTTGATGTTAATGGTTAAGGACTTTTTGTGTGCCTAGTGAAGCACCTCTAAGGTCAGAACACATCCACCTACCGGTTCTGCGCTGTGAAGGTTTCTCTTTGAGGATGAAGATCACTGTAAACGACCCTGATGAGATCATGCTGACATAGAGCTCCTTCAGTTAAAGCCATGGATCCAATACTAGAGGGCTAGAATTAGGTGGCAGGAGGAGGAAGGAAGGAAGGGGAGAAATCAAGCCATAAGGAAAAGGTCCCCAAAAGCATTAAAACTCCTAACCACCCAAGACAAAAAAAAACCACTCATCTTGAGATCTGTAAAAAGGAATACTGTTCCAGAATACAGTAAATCTATGAACATTACCTAATTTCATTATTATAAAGTTTCCACACTTACAAGCAACAGATCAGGCAAGAGCAATTTTCAACTTTGATTCTTACATATTTATTTATAGTATTTTATCCTAGTTGCACAGACCTTTTGTACAGTAACAGTAGAGAAAGAAAAATACGATTCCAAGTTCAAACTGTATTAAAGGAGTTAGAAGAAGGAAGACTACTTTTAAACTAACAGGTAAGAGGCAAAAAAACCCAGTTGCAACTACAACACAACTAACCTCTGTTTAAAATGAGCACTGTCATTTACATTCCTTCTCTTCTACTGTTATTGAATTCTGCTACACTAATTGCAAGCTACTGACATGGAAAACTTACTGCAACAAGATGCATCTAAAATGGTCTGTTGCATCAAACGGATCCATTTTTCATTCCTCTAATATATCCACTTCTAATTTACCACAGCAGCTCTCTTACCTCATGATATATTGAGGGTTTAGATAATGAAGGGATGGTGAAAGATAAAACTTTGTTGTTTCCGTCTTTGTCAGCAATTTCCTGCATTAAAAAACAAAACCAAAACCCAAACAGAAGTAAGGAAATAGGACTTGGAATAAGAAAAGAACAAAAAGCCTTTCTAGCCCACCTTTACATTATAACATCTATTTATAACAGAATTGCATAGTGGAGCAAGGCTAAACTTTAAGCCCAAAAGATACAGACACATGAAGGCTGATGAGTCATTTGCTGACCACAGGCAGTACTTCATAACCAATGCACCACAGATAAAAGGTGAAATCAAGGGGACTGGCAAAGTTTCTTCAGACATTCTGAGAAAACATTCTATGTATTTCTGACAAAAGGTTTCCAAACTGGTCAGATTTTATAGTTGCTAGGCTACTACATAAGCAAACCCAGCAGTTTTTAAAGCAAATATACTAGGAGTTTTACCTACCACTACACCAAAAAGTGTCTAAAATCCTGTGTTTTCACTTTGTACAGCAAACTTCCAAACAATGAGCTCTAGCCATTCCAGTTTATGTGCTACCTTAGTCCAAGGTAGCACAGTGCTTGTATTAGGCTTTAAGGATCACAATGGGAGGGCAGTTGATACAGTTTATCAGAATGCAAAAGATTTATCCTTGTCTTTCACTTTCCAAGTATTGAGGAAATAAGTTCACTCCTTCAGTCTCACTATATATACAGAAAAATATAAACAACTTAACAAAAGGAAAAAAAACAACAGTGGGAGCCACTGTCCATTTTGAGGCCTCTTTCTTCCTGATTCTGGAGAGAATGAAAAAAATTACTGTCCTTAAAAAATATGAATCACCAACATGACTTTCAAAGGAACTGCAAAAGGACCTTTATGAGAAAATGGTTGACAAAGATAAACATGCTACTTCAACCCAGCAAAGAGTACCAAAAATCAGCAAGCAGGTTTTTTTCCTATCAGAATAAATCTAAAACAACTGTATTTTCCAGTTGTTAGAGCTGACCTACAGACACATAATATGGATTTTTTTTTTTTGTAAGAATCACAATTTGACTGTTCTGTACCTCATCATGTGCAGAAACATAATACACCATTTAAAGGAGGACTTTATTATGACAGTAGACAAAAGGGCAATGTTTCAGTATAATATGTTTTAAAGTCCTGTAACACAGAAATTCCCATTAGAGAATGCCTATCTTGGCAATATTGCTAAATTCATCAAACCACCTCATAGCATTACAACAGCGAACATTTCCAAGGTAAGGATTCAAAAAACTACTTTTACATCCAGCACCCAAACTTAATCATCTACAGCTACTTTTACTTATTCTTAAAAATCACAGTTCCACTCAAGACAACTACCTACCTCAAACATACACATGTATGTAACTTAGCACTAGCATGCCAAGTGGTTTCAGCTTCAAATTACCCTTAAAAAGACATATTCAGAGTAACCAGGGGAGCAAGGGGAAGTGACACATTAAGACTGACCAAGCATATTGGCCTGACAATTGTCTCCATAGAAAGTTGTATTTTTCTGCATTAAAAAGGGCCACTTAATTTCCTTACAAACACAAATACATAACAGTTCAAGAAAGCCCATGAGATTATTCTTTTTAGTTAAAATGTTTGTCTCCAAAAGATCACAATAAAAATAGTTTTGCAAACATTCTTACTAAACCTTCATCACATTATATTTTTTCTCCAGATTAGACATGCTTTCATGTAAGCATATTATAATTTTAAATATGTTGTTCCAATAGCTTACTTTCCTAGTGGTCAGTGACGCAAAACCTCAGATCAAAGCTTTCCTCAGCCATTCCCACTCATCTCACTTACCAAGTTGTAAATGCCCAGCAGCAGTGCTTCAATGCAACCATTACTCTGCCTGTCCCTGCTGGCAGTCAGACGCAAATATACCCAAATCAACTCTGGCAAAAATTGCAGTGTGAATCTCTTGAGACGAACTTCAGAACTACGATAAAGTTCAAAGAGCTGGTGGCAAACAGGCTCCAGGAGCTGTGGAAAAGCAAAAAGGCTAATTAATTACTGTTAGGCTTCTCTAATAAGGGAGAATGAAACAGCAAATACAGCAGCTATATCATATAGCCACTGCAGACAGTAAAGATGACATTTCTTGATGGCAAGTAAGTGAGTAAACCAAAATTATATCCAAGTTCCTATTAAAGAGATCTGTAAGGACAGACCTGAGGGGCATGGTATGCACTATTGGGAAATGTGGCCTTACTACAGCCACTACCGTCTTGTGCTTTGAGAACATTATTCTCTAGGTCTGTTAGTATGAGATTTATTTTGTATAGGGGTACTAATTTAAGGCATGTGACACACACGTGGCTTGAACTATGCGTACCATAAAACTTTAATTATGAAGTTGTAAGGTTTATAGAAGTACAAAGGTTAAAGACTAGATTCTAATGACAAGTCTATTAACAGAAATATGAATTAATTTCTTACCTACAGCTTTTTAGTCTCAAACCCAATAAGCATGCGTTAGTTCATTACAATACAAACTGATTTTGCCATCTTGAGCCACCCTTCGGGTTTCAGTACAAGAAGCAAAAAGGGCCTTTACCAAGTCATTGTGATAAACACAATTAAGAGTCTACAATGCCAAACCAATAGTTAAGATGCATCCACAGAACTGTTAATGAACAGGGGGAAAAAAAAAAAAGAACCATGTCAAACTGTCTGCCCCCCTCCCATGACTAATCAAGTTTTTAATACCAAAGTCAAAAACTACAAAAAAAAAAAAAATCCAGAGAGGAATTTTGATAAGGTCTATGACCAGTATCTAGTATTACATCCTAAGCAATGGGATAACCTGAATTAAGGAAAATACTCATGGGATTCAACATCCAAAAAGACTGAGGCATCCATGTAACCAAAAGCATCTAAATTCAACACAGAAAAGCTACAGAGTCAGAAATCAGAGGCCACAATCTCAAATAAGTCTTCTTTCTAACAGTACATGGTTTATACAGCTCTCATATACATATACAATAATACCAAACATTACATTATACGTATTTTTTTTAGAGCAATAAAAACCTTACATTTGACCAACACAATAGCAGCTGTACTGATGAGACAAAAAGGCACGAATAGGAAACACCCGGCGCAGAGCAGAGGATCAGAGAAGGCATGTATGACTCCTCTTCCAATATATACTTTCACTCCCTGGGATACGCAGCTTAAGACTCTCAGAACATTATCACTGTTTCATAGAATTTCATGCATTCTTCTTTCATTAATTTGTCTATTAATCAAAATCTTACTACTCAGAATTGCCTGCAGAATTCACTGTCGCTCTTTTGCCATGCTGTACTAAGAAGTACTTCTGTGGCTTGTTGTGAACCACCCATCCTCTTAAAAAAACTTTGAAGAAGTCCCTTACTATCAGCAGAGGGAGAGACACTTCCATGAGTGATTAGCTTGAATGACTGATAAATGTGCAACGCCATAAATCTGTATGGCCCTACAACTTCACATACACATATTTAGACTTAGATATTTTACTCTAGTATATTACAAACATGAAACATAAATCTGACAGAATTTTTTATCAAGATAGCTGACTTAAGAGAGTATCACCTGAGAAAGGGTGAATATATTAGTTTCATTTCTAACACGCAGTATTCTAGTCAGTGAAGCATACAATTTTTAAACCACTGGTTACATAAGCCATAACATGACATCTATGTAAAATAAAACTTTGCTATCAAACAAATTGCTTCTTATACAAGGCTCTGGTATAAGTACCTTGTGTAACAAGGCTACTGATTGACAGCCTAGTTACTCTCAGCTAAAAGCATGTTTTTACAACACAAGCAAACTACACAAGAAAGTGAGGGAAGAAAGCCGACACTGACAACATTGATACAGAATGAGAGGAGAAGTCCAGTAATTTGGAGCACATAGATTTATTTTTTTTTTTTACCAGCCACATATGTAAAATACCTCAACATATAATTTTTGTTTTGGTATCTAAATGAAATTAGAAGCCCATAAAGCTTCTATTGCAATCATTTTAATAAAACAATGCTTTCTCTATTTTTCTATATTTTCTTTTTTTATATATTTATTCCAGTATTTATACATATATTGCACTTTATACTCAAAACATTAAAAAGTATATTCTTTCTTAATTAATATTTACTTAGTAGTTAAAAGTGACACCAAGTATTAAAGCCATCTGTTACAGTAAATGTTCAAACCCTCAGAGACAGAACTGTATCCTTGTTTTATGAAAGGCCTAGCACACTTCAGATGTTCAAAGAAAGACAAGTTGTTAATAAATAATTCAGAGATCACTGAATAAGTGTGTAGGTTTTCTTTAAAATAAAATATGAGCAAGAAGCCAGCATAAAGAAGAAAAAGAGGAAATCTCTGGAAACAATAAGTATAAGCACATCTGCAAGGAGATAACAGGTGCAAGAAAAGCTGAACAAATATTATCAGAAACCGGATATATACAGCAGCATAGCTATAAATAGTACTTTTATTAGATTAGAGATGACAGCAGCTCAAAGCTGTTTCCTATTTGAAATTAGCCAGTCTAATCCAAGTCCCATTAAAAACAGTGGAAAAGACTAACTTACTTAGCTAAAGTCAGATAAGACTTAACCAGACCAGTTACTGAGTTTATTCTACTTTATTTCAAATTAGAATTCTGCTAAATTAGTCTTTTAAGTGAAACCATGCTCCCTAGAAAAGATACAAGCAATATGCAGTTAGTGGTGCTGCAAGAATGTAAATACTGCTCATTTCTGGTAGTTGTCATATTAGTTGTGCAAAAGGTTTAACAACTGCAAATTACTTAGGTGAAAACCTAAAAGTTGTTTGTAGCAAATCTTATAGCGCTTTTGGTGTGTTCAGAGCTTTAAGTCCACAGGAAAAAGCTGCCATCACAAAGATGCTGTAACACAAATATTTTTAAAGGCATGAACAGCCAAGTTTTTCCTATCAAAGTATAAAATTATCTTCTCCCACCTGGAAACACAAAACTTGACACTGTAAGAAAGAAAAATGTTTTCCTTGCATCTTAGTTATCTGGCTTTTCAGAGAACCAGCCTCTTCCAATTAATTCTCTGAATACAAATATTGAGAAGACACTGGATAAACAGAGGAAATGGAGCTTTTGTCATCATTAGCAGGTATATGCATGAACTGGCACACACTTTAAGTCCAAAGATCTTTCAGACCAAAGTCAAAGGAAACTGAGTAGCACAGCAGTCATCAAGAAATACAAAGTAAAAAGTCTCTTCTAACCATATCTCTAAAAACTTATATTAAAAGCTTTTCTATTAGCATAACAAACTATTACAAACAAAATTTTTACTGGCTTATTACAGTAAGTGACAATGATATAATTTGCAGGCTTCATTTTCACACCTCACAGAGATGCAGACTAGTCATGTTTTAAGGAAGCTGACTGAATAGCTTTAGTTTGGCTTATTTTACAAGGTTGACAAATCTTAAGAACCATACCTGGAAGTTAAACATAATGTATTATAAAATGCATGACAGACTGAAAATGCTTGCCTTTTTGAATAATTCAGTCGTGGTAGAAAACAATGTGCTCATTTTAGGCTTAACTATAACACTATGGGTGAAATTAGTTATTATTTGAAGAGTACTGGGTCTGGGAAGTGCTTGGCACTGCAAAGTTCAAGGCTTAGCTTTCCAAGTTAAACCTAAATAGCCCCACATGAATACTCAATGTTTGCATTTCAGTACTGTATTAACTTAAAACTCATACATCATTTATGTCCACAACCATAAACCAATTCCAAAAATTATAAATCTATCTAAAAAAACCCTAGTACTGTAAAACCACTTTATTTTAGAATTCAAATATTACACAAAAATCAATACGTTATTCAGTTAAATAAGCTGTTTATCAGCAAGATCACTCTCTACTCTTTATTTAACTTTCTGTTCCAGTCATTATCATCTCCATATAAAAAAAAAGTCAGGGAATTTCCTAAAGAGTAAACAGTAACCACCGTATTTAACTTGACACTATGCTTGCCTTCATTAGATAGCTCTCGAACTGGCAGACAGCTGTCAAAAAAGGGAAACACCTTGGTTGGTTGTTTTGGTTCCTAACCATGCTGGTCCCACGTTAAATTTATAATCCCAGTTTTATCAAGATAGAATTACATGATTCTAGAAAAATTCATGTTTGCCCTAAACAGTTTGTCCCTTTCAGAGAGTGTTAAAAATAGATAAACTTTATTACTAAGCTGTACTAAAAAATTACTTGCCCATCAAGTTTAAGAATCCAGCAAGTACATTCTTATAATGGTCTAACACATAAGCTTTACCTTTGTAAGCAATCAGTTATCCTTTTAACAAACAAGGCTGGTAAAGTGTATGTAAAAAGCCCCTCACTTAGAGCCAAACACTACCACTGAATTATACAAAGTAATGAATTTACTACGGTTATACTCCTCACACACAAATAAGTTTGGAAGAAATACAACAAGGAAATACATACTGCCTTAACAAGCAGAACCTGAAGTTAATCATCTTTGAGTCCGAGATTGTTTATCTTATAGTTGATATCAGAACCAGGCCCAAAGAGCAACAGGAGTTCCAAAGAGTAATATTTGACAAGCACCATTGTGCAATAACATAACATACTGTCATACCCTTAAGAAAATACTCTTTTTGCAAATCTACTTCTTTGCATAATAAAAAAAATAAATTGTTTCTTCTCAAAACCAAGCAAAGCTTTTACATTTTCAGAAGTATACACACACAAATACATATATGCTAAAAGACAGCAGCAGCAATGATGGCTTCAGGTTGGAGAGAGAATAACGGTAGCTTCAGTACAAAGAAAAAGGTCGCTATTTGTAACACTGAAACAAAGCTGACAGCTATGAAGTTTTTGGGTTTTTTTTGCATGGGATTATGCAATCTCCTTTAAACTCAATCAAGCATTCGGCTTCCGAAAGCAGCTGAGCTTGCTTAGGAAAATAAAGAACTTCCTTGCTGTGTATACCTGCCATTTAATTTATAAATACACAAGAGATCACAGATGATAACTTGAATATTTTGAGGCATTTTATCCAATGTAGTTTACATAGCAGAGAATGTTTCACACACCTTCCCAGAAATGCTCATAGCAGAAGCCAATGGAACAGAAAACTCAGTTTAATGTAATTTTCAAAATGAATTATTTAAAAGGGTAAGCTATTTTTTAATTGTCTATATTTATATTTTGGGGCCCTGGTTTTGCTCTTGTTTACAGCAGTATAAACCAAATTACACAAACATGATACTACTATAAGCAAAAGAAGATCTGGTTCTTTTAATAGGACTTAGTAAACTTTTTCCATCTTCCACTGCAATAAGCTACCAGGTGAAAAGCATATTGGTCTTAATTGCGTTTCACTGTAAGGCCTACTTTGTTACAAGTGAAAAGTTGCCGGGGGGGGGCGGCACAAACTCATGCCAATAAAGGGTTAACAGTCAGTTGTGGCAAGTAAAACCTATCTGACAGAATAAACTGTATGTTTGGGACCACATGAGGTTGTGTCTTACCCAAAAGTCATTAAAATGACTGTAAAAAAACAAGAGACTAAGAAGAGGGATAATACCCATGTTAGATTACATCAGAAAGAATCAAAGAATATTCCTCTCCATCTCCACTTCTCAATTACTCTAGTTTTAATTGTATAGGTGGAAGATATAAGAATGCCAACAATAGATTTTCTTTTAAAGTATCCTACCTCATTATTTGGGTCTTGAATGACCTTATAAAGAGCCGGTACCAGTGGTTTTTTTCTGTGCAATGTAGCTGCATAGCTGGAAATTTGTGTTTCAGGTAATGCCTAAATTAAAAAAAAAAAGTGTTACCCTGATAAATCAATTCTTCCAAGTATTAAAGATCTCCACAAAAGTATTCGGTCTCATCCCAACCTCAAGAAAAATTCTTTAAGTTCAGTAAATTTTGAGACTTGTAACCTAGTTCATTCAGTACCAGTTCTTCTCCATATGAATAGCATTTAGAGGCACATACCAACTTTCAGGGCTAAATCCAAAAGCAGTTTCAGATTTATCTTTCATAAAATCATTTGCTCCAGCTTGATATGAGGACTCTCTTTCTTGATACTATGTATTAAACAGGCACTTTTCAAAGTCTTTATCAAATCAAACTGAATTATTTAAGAAGTGCCGATAACCTAGAATGAGCACAGGCAGCCTTGAGTCCAACCAAGACACCACATCCGTGGATTTTGCACCATTGGCTCCTCAACAAACTTCAAACAACAGCATGTAAATGACTTACTGTGTATCATCAATGATGTGAGGAATCACTAATTCTTAATTTAAATAACAATTTTATACCAGCCACAAAATTATCTTCTTGTTTATGCATTAACCTATATTTCACTCAGCGTAATTATCAACATGCAAAATAGCTTAAAAAGATTTCAGAATCTTCATGACAATTCATTTTATGCAGACCTCAAGAAAAAAAACAGCCGAAGATTTTTCTTTAATTTTTTTTTAAACTCAAAACTTTCTACTGATTTTTTTAGAAACAAAAAAGTTGCTCAATTAGAAATTTGGGCAGGTTATCCAGCTGTTAGTGAAATTCTACCAGGCTGATCCACACAGAAAGATATGCTTTAAAAAAAACACATTGCTATAGCAGTGTTGTGCCCTACAACAATAAACAACAAAAACAAACTACTATTAGAACTATGCATTGTATATTATGTACCAGCTGACTCATTTACATAGACCTTTGTACGCTTCATGCATTATAAGAAGTTGAAAGACCAAGTAATAGATATTTAAAATGCTAATTATTGTATAGTAAAAAAGGTTCTGTGACATAAAGCCAATGGTATAGCTATAATTCATCTTCTCAGCTCACCTTGAATTCTGACAGCCATTCTTCCACGACACCTCGTTCTGATCCCAGCATTTTCATAATTCTTTTGCTTTTCTTACCTTTAGAAGAGAAAGGAAAAAAGTGCTGGCAGCAAAACTTAGTTTTGTAAAACCCTATCCCAATGAAAAGCTGTTAACATATTTCCAATAGGATTATATAATACCAAATAATAGGAAAAATTGCATTCTGGACAACTGGCCCCATTTTCTAACAACGACTAAACTGTCCTCTTCAGACTTTTAGTCAAAAGTACTGCACGTTAATGGGGGAGGAGGAAAAAAAAGGATTCAGTTCTTCAGGCCAAAATGTACATTATTTAAGACAAACTCATCATCCCATTCTTGTTCCCTTATCAAACACAGTACAAAGAAAAGACAAGTGGAACAAAGTAAAGACCATCATGAAACAAATCACATGAAATACTGTAATGACAGTTCTAGATACAGGTTGAAGTAAAGCAGACTCATTGAACCAGTTATTAGAAATACTAACTTCACTCCTTAAAGCTTGTTCTTAAAGAATTTTGAGGCTTCTTGTTCAAACTGCAAGGTTTAGCTCTTCTAAAAGTGTGCTGGATTTCTCAGAAGCAAAAAAAGAAAACTTGCAAGGACAACTTATTATTTTCCGTTTTATATACAATGGCTATATTCTAACATCTTTTGAATTCTCATAATTTTAATTCTCAAGGGATTAGCAAGAAGTTTAAAAACACAAGGCATCATTAAACACCTTTGCTTGATGTTTAAATAGGTCTAAGCAACAAGGGTCATTTTGTCTTTCTGTGTGATCTCAGTACAGGTCAGCAATACCTGGAAGTCATTAATGTCCAGAAAATGTTAACCTGATGAAGTGAAATGAACCTGTAGCCTGAACTAGAGATCAAAGCCTAAGAATAGTGACTGGAAAATGGATAAATTGAGGAGATGGTAAAATATAAGAAGTCTTTGAAGCCATACTAGATATATTAAGGCAGTGATTCTTAGTTAAATTTTCATCAAAAGTTTATTTTTGACAGGACCTGCAGGTTAACAGCTGCCTGAACAGAAACAAGAAACTGAAAATCTGTGAAGGAGCACTGAATTTAAGAGATACTTTCGTCAGTCTTTTTTTTCTCTTTTTTTTTTTCCCCCCAAAGAAGTTGATATTGCTATATAACAATTACATGCAACAAAGCCATCACACTCTGCCATATCTTTAACACATTTTTCCTAAAATCTACAAATACCTATCAGCTTCAAAGCTCTATTTTTGTTTTTACTTAATATTTTTTTCCTTTGATACAGTTAATTTTTTCTGAAGTTATTTTAGTCTGGGATGGGGAAGAAAAAAAGAGATAAACACTTCCACAACCAGATCATAACAAGATGAAGATCGATACAGTCATCTTTAATTCCATAAATATTTATGTTTATCAACTTCATACAAGTAATGCCAAGAATATTTTAAGTGCTCCTATTTGCAGAATTTGTTTATAAGAAAATTTATAAGAAAATTTAT